GTTAAATATGGCTCATCTAAGTGCAACGTATATGATTCCCATTTTTTGTTCGAAATGGTCAAAATGATAGGGTTTTTCGAAAACTTATAAAAAAAATAATTTGTAATTAAATATAGATTTTACCACGCAGCGTAATACACAAGATTTTTTTGTTGAAAATTTTGATGCCACTATTTTACGTTACTACAACTATAGGAAATTGTAGATACTGATTTATTGGTAATATTAAATATTACAAAAAATTTAAAATTAGAACATAATTACTATTTTTAGGCCTATTTATGATTATAATATCTATTAACAGATATTGAAACGTTTAACAATGGTGTAACTTCCGATACAGTTTTCAACTATATTTAAATCAAGGTGAAACTCAAATACATGGCTATTGCACTATTGGAGTCCAAATGCATTACTCTTATCTTTATATATTGCAGTGAAATACAATATTCTTTTATGGTTTTCACACCTTAAAACCATCATTTTTTGCTGCAGCAACGATATTTTTATATCACTTATTCGATTGGGCCGGGACAAGAGTCACTTAATCGGTTGGGCCAGGAAAATGAATCGCTTAAGTCTTGTGCCGATTACGGAAAATTGGTAAATCGAAAGTACACTGAAAAAAATATGCTTTTTTGTCCTAACTTAGTTTTAAAAAAAAACGAGTTGATCTGGTTGTCTGGGAAGCCACAGAAATAGTTCCTGCAGCACCTGTCGGAGGATTTTTTTTATCGACGAGACGTTTACCAGCATTTTGGGTCCGATGAACGTCGCCACTTCGGGAATGAAAAATAGAGCCACCAGAGCAACTCTCCTCTTGAATCCGTGGAAGAACTTGTGCGCTGTAAGTCGATATGAAAAACGTATTGTAATAAACTGAAAAAGTATTTGATCTGATGTGTCATATCCCCTCGTGCTGTGATGGATCACTTACTGACCAAAAACTTTATATGGGCTACTTCATCTTTTGCGATACCTATTTACTTAAATTGTACTGTATCACGACTCAAAAACTATATATTTTCTCGAAAAGGTGGTTTACGTTTGGACATTGAAGTATATTCTTACGAGATGTCAGATGAGTATTCCCCCTTAGATGAAATACTAACTCAAGTTAAAAAAAAATTCATAGTGGTAATTATTTATTGTAAATAAACACTAGAGTAACCCATAAATTATCTCGTTGCTAATTAATTTTCGTATTCAATTAGCCAAGGAGAAACCCGTTACTTTGGCGAATCGATAACCAATAGCCCCAAGCATCCCAACGCGTGTTTAGCGATCCAAGTAAATAAAAGTAAGTGATATTGTAGAGATGAAATAAAAGTTAAAAAAAAAGAATATCTACCAAATTTGGTAAACTCGTTGGAAGCGCGGAACATGTTCATGGGGGTGCCAAGGGCGATGTTGGCAATGAGCCCACTCGCGTACTTGTAGTTCATTTCCTGGGCATCGATCACCATCTTCCCGTTCGAACTGACGCTCTCCTCCCTCAGGTAATCAGCCATTGTCTCGCCCGTCTGTATTATCAGCGGCAGCATTTGCTTCATCTTGCTGATGTTGAACGTAGGCACGACCTTTGACCGCAGATGCTTCCAGGGCGCGGACTTCAGTCCAAACAGGTTCTTCATGTCGATGCTCTCGCGCTGCAGGTCGCCGGAGAAGACGCGGTCCGAGAAGTTGTCAAAGTCGCGGATGAGGATGTTCTTGATGATCTCGGTGTCGCGGATCAGCAGGCATGGCTTGTGGAAAATGTAGAAGCCGGTTATCGGCGCGTCCTTGTTCACGGCGGACCTGTGCAACACCCCCACGTGGTAACCTGGGGAGGTGCGGAACAGCACCCCGTCCTCTCCTTGTTGAAAATAAGTTAGTTAAAAATAACATGTTTTTTGTCAAAGATTAAAAGATAAAAAAAATCAAACTAATATTTAATATAATTCAACTAATGACCCTCACAAAAGCCTATGTCAAATTGGGGAATTAAATGATTTTTTTATCGGAGTTACGTCTGGCAAAGAATATTGGAAAAATTCATATGGACGTATGATGTTCTTAAAAACAACCTGAATTTATTTCGGTGGTACCTAACATTTTTTTCCAAAGCCTGCGTAAACTCGGAGTCGTCCGATTGACAAGTTTACTGTCAGTAAGACTACACTTGTAGTTTTGTCTGCATTAAAAATTATTGAAATGGCAAAAATTTTACCAAAAAACATTTAAACATACCAAGACACATTCTAGGACCGATTCCAAAGGGCATGTAAGCATCAGAAATTTGTTTGGTGCCATCGAATCTACTTGGATCGAATACATCTGGTTGGTCGAAGAATCGCGGGTCAGTCTGCATACCGTAGAGTGAGATGTAAATTGCGGTACCTTTTTTAATGATATGGTTCGTACCGGGGATCTGTGGAAAATAATAATTAATTATTTTTAAAAGTGTTTTAAATATTACATAAAAGAGCATTAATTTTATTTATTTTTTTTTTTAACTGTTGAAAAGAATCAATGAAACCATGCACATAGAAAAGAATCACAGGAATTTTAACCGTAAGGTAATCGGTATGTGGTACATAAATTTTTACCATAGTTTCCGGTAATTTTTATACTAACTGTAAATCTTATCCAAAATTCATTATGATTTTTACTGTTCGGCATCGAAAAAGTTTACCCTGGAAAACTGTACAGCCATAGGCTGCACGTGGGCTGGAGGGGAAGTTGAAGTTAGCATAAAAATTACGGGGTAAAAATTCACGTAGCGCTTTACGATTACGAGTTTTTTACTGCTATTTTTTTCCAACCAACAAGTATAAGAAACAAAAATTTTTTAGTACTTCTTCCAAAATCTTACGACACTGACCTTGTAGTCGTTTCTGGCGACGCGATCAATGGTCGAAATGGGCGGGTGAAGCCTGAGACCTTCGTTCAAGCACTGGTCGACGTACTTCATGTGGTTAAAAGCTTCGTAGGTCATGCCGTACTCTTCAATAGCTTTTTCAATTTCCTGACGAGCTTTCTCTTGGTACTCGGGCTTGCCCGCCAGCTCGAAAAGCGTGAACGTGATGGAAAGACTGCTAGATTCGAAGCCGGAGAAGAAGGTGCCCGTTACGTCCAGCAAATTTTCACCCTCTAGTCCTGCAATTGGGGAAATTTTATTTTTATCAGTACACGGTACCAATTGCATTTATTAGCTCTTGCGTGAATAAATATTTTGCAATTCGTCTTGTCAAAATTAAATCATTCAATCAAAGTGTTTAAAAAATAGTAAATTTTTTTTTTTTTCTATCAAGGAGTGTGAAAAATGGGGATTGTATCACTTAGCATAAAGTTTATCTTTAAAATTAATACGAGAGATAAGCAATGAGAATCAACAAGACTCACTGTGAATGGGATTTTGCTCGCCATTCTTCATTTCGATGAGCGAGTCGATGAAGTCACCCCGTCTCTGGCCACTTTCTTCGCGTTCCTGCAGCACCTGTCGGAGGATTTTTTTTATCGACGAGACGTTTACCAGCATTTTGGGTCCGATGAACGTCGCCACTTCGGGAATGAAAAATAGAGCCACCAGAGCAACTCTCCTCTTGAATCCGTGGAAGAACTTGTGCGCTGTAAGTCGATATGAAAAACGTATTGTAATAAACTGAAAAAGTATTTGATCTGATGTGTCATATCCCCTCGTGCTGTGATGGATCACTTACTGACCAAAAACTTTATATGGGCTACTTCATCTTTTGCGATACCTATTTACTTAAATTGTACTGTATCACGACTCAAAAACTATATATTTTCTCGAAAAGGTGGTTTACGTTTGGACATTGAAGTATATTCTTACGAGATGTCAGATGAGTATTCCCCCTTAGATGAAATACTAACTCAAGTTAAAAAAAAATTCATAGTGGTAATTATTTATTGTAAATAAACACTAGAGTAACCCATAAATTATCTCGTTGCTAATTAATTTTCGTATTCAATTAGCCAAGGAGAAACCCGTTACTTTGGCGAATCGATAACCAATAGCCCCAAGCATCCCAACGCGTGTTTAGCGATCCAAGTAAATAAAAGTAAGTGATATTGTAGAGATGAAATAAAAGTTAAAAAAAAAGAATATCTACCAAATTTGGTAAACTCGTTGGAAGCGCGGAACATGTTCATGGGGGTGCCAAGGGCGATGTTGGCAATGAGCCCACTCGCGTACTTGTAGTTCATTTCCTGGGCATCGATCACCATCTTCCCGTTCGAACTGACGCTCTCCTCCCTCAGGTAATCAGCCATTGTCTCGCCCGTCTGTATTATCAGCGGCAGCATTTGCTTCATCTTGCTGATGTTGAACGTAGGCACGACCTTTGACCGCAGATGCTTCCAGGGCGCGGACTTCAGTCCAAACAGGTTCTTCATGTCGATGCTCTCGCGCTGCAGGTCGCCGGAGAAGACGCGGTCCGAGAAGTTGTCAAAGTCGCGGATGAGGATGTTCTTGATGATCTCGGTGTCGCGGATCAGCAGGCATGGCTTGTGGAAAATGTAGAAGCCGGTTATCGGCGCGTCCTTGTTCACGGCGGACCTGTGCAACACCCCCACGTGGTAACCTGGGGAGGTGCGGAACAGCACCCCGTCCTTGAGGTTGCCGAACACGAGGTCGGTGTTGGGCAGTTCCTCGATACCCTGTCGCTTCCAGTAGCTGAGCTTGTACTTGGCGTAATAGCGGAACAGCAAGAAGACCGCGGTTGCGAAAGCTAGAGTCAGGTACAGGTCTGGCATGGTCGCTGTTTTCACGGGGGACTTTGATGGGAGGAAGAGGGCAGGACCGGGGTCAAAAAGTGATGGGTCGCGAATACCGGTCAGCGAGTTAGATTTTTTTGTTTACGCCAAACATTACTGATGTACAATAATTCAGGGACAGTTGTTGTCTCTTTTTCTTTCACCACGTTGGCCTGGAAAACACAAACTATAGCTGTCGTAGTAATTTGAATGGTTCTTATAAAAGCTTAAACTGAGGCGAGTCGGAAGACCATGTGAATTCACATGGATAACCGATGTAGGAATTAAAGTTGAGTAAATTTTAGTCCCATAAAGTGTCAACACATTCCTAACAGGAACATACTCAAGCATTTTGTCATAAAATTTTTCAAAATCATTTTGCAGGATGTCCATACTTGGTATAGTTGTCATGTGCCCAAAGTTACGTTTTTATTAATTTACATTGAACAATTTTTTCATGACTAATGTTGAAAAATTATGTTAATCAGCCAATACCTCAAGAATCGCATTTTTTGCGATAATACCCCGAAAGTCCCAAAAATTATTCAAGAATAAAAAAAAGTGCAATGCGTAAACTGTCTCTTGTTATTAAAATTAAATGAAAAACGGGCTCGTCAGATAACTTAAAATTTGAAAATATTTACGCTTCTACTAAAAATACTTGAGCTTTCATCCAAACAAATAATTAAAAAAACAAAAAAAAAAATCATTCTGATAGTCAAACTTGCCTCAGTTTAAATTGTTAAACGTAGTTTTTAAAAAACTTACCTTTCGTACGAACAAACCACAAACTGCTGTGCTCAAGTAAAAGCTCATGCGATAGTGATTATTTTTCTAAACGAGACATTATATTTATACCCATTGTAAGAGAGACTTACGTGGACATACGTAGACAGAAAATGGTGGGGTAGAAAGAAATAAGTGGAAAAAATGCGATTGGGTGGGGCTTAGAGATTCTAAAAACTATGATATCATTTCTTAATGAATTCTGTTAATTGCTCTACATAGTGGTAAGTAAAGCAGTACTTTGTCTGTAACAAAGCATTTTTAAATTGTGAAATTAAAAAGTGAACATTTTCAAACGAAAAAAAATTATTTTCTACTAGAAATTCATAGTACTCATGCGTTGAGTAGTAGTTGGGGTGATTTTATTCTCGAAAAGATAACGGTAAGAAATTGAATTTTAGTACACATTTTGTTTATCATATAAATGTATTAAATATTACAAATAATATAAGCTTTCAAGGTCAAATGTGAGTTTTACAACATAAAGTATTGACTGATTTTACCCCAAGTTCTGACACTAATCTAAGTCAAGGAGTGGCGAGTGGAGGAAATGTCTCAGTTTTTCCGACGAATCAGGTTCCGTCTCCTAGTATTTCTCGAATACAGCGTAGCCTAACAAAGCCCGCCACTATAGCGGGGCGTGACTTGGGTAGTAGTAGTTTTTCGACATTTTTTAACAACTTGTGACATCATACAATATTTTTAAAGACTTGTAATCTTGAGACAGCAACACGTGTAAGATTGTACGCGATAGCGCAACTAATTGTGTTTCTCCTTAAAAATTCTTTTTATCTTTTCTGTAATTACGAAGAACAAAAGAAGATAGTAGTGAAAAATTTGGGGGAAGTAAATCAATTTTCATACGTAGCTAAAATATAGTGAAGGCCCACGTATCAGCAACTGTATGATGTTAAATATGGCTCATCTAAGTGCAACGTATATGATTCCCATTTTTTGTTCGAAATGGTCAAAATGATAGGGTTTTTCGAAAACTTATAAAAAAAATAATTTGTAATTAAATATAGATTTTACCACGCAGCGTAATACACAAGATTTTTTTGTTGAAAATTTTGATGCCACTATTTTACGTTACTACAACTATAGGAAATTGTAGATACTGATTTATTGGTAATATTAAATATTACAAAAAATTTAAAATTAGAACATAATTACTATTTTTAGGCCTATTTATGATTATAATATCTATTAACAGATATTGAAACGTTTAACAATGGTGTAACTTCCGATACAGTTTTCAACTATATTTAAATCAAGGTGAAACTCAAATACATGGCTATTGCACTATTGGAGTCCAAATGCATTACTCTTATCTTTATATATTGCAGTGAAATACAATATTCTTTTATGGTTTTCACACCTTAAAACCATCATTTTTTGCTGCAGCAACGATATTTTTATATCACTTATTCGATTGGGCCGGGACAAGAGTCACTTAATCGGTTGGGCCAGGAAAATGAATCGCTTAAGTCTTGTGCCGATTACGGAAAATTGGTAAATCGAAAGTACACTGAAAAAAATATGCTTTTTTGTCCTAACTTAGTTTTAAAAAAAAACGAGTTGATCTGGTTGTCTGGGAAGCCACAGAAATAGTAAAAGTCGATGACGGTTCACAGCTAGCAGGAGACCATGTACTTTTGTGAGTTCGTTCAACCATTTTTTTCTCTTTTATTTAGCTACGAACAAAAAATTATTCTCGATTACTTTCTTGGTCTTAATAAGTAAAATAAACAAAGAATAAGTAAAATCTGTTGCTGTAATTTCTGATAAATAACATTTTTTAGAAATAAGGAATTGTATTTTCTTGGCCCTATTAAAAAAGAAACTTACTGACAAAAAGGTAAATAAACGTTTAAAAACACTGTTCCGTAGATACTAGAACATATAGTCTAGATGCAGTACCTATGGATAAATTATTCAAGTATCAATTTTTAGACTGTGATAGTAGAAAGAAAAAAGGTATATTTTAGAGTAAACGAGCTTGTACAGTAGGAAGTGGAAAATTTTAAAAATAATTGAAAAATAGTTTTAAAGTAACTCTAAGCCTGTCTACAACCAGAGAGCTTTTATGCGTAAAAAACTGAAAGTATCGTATCTCGGCTTCTATTGATCCTATAGCAACTTTTTTTTTTTTTAATTCATGCATAAAAATAAGCGTAATAGATTTCACTAAATTGTTTTTGTCTAAGTTGAAAATTACAGAAAATACGGTCTTGCTCTTTCAGTTTTTTGTTGATAACTTTTTTTTGTTTATTTAATAAGTCCAGTTTCTTAGGTAGTGAAGATAATGTTATTCTTCACTGATTCCAAAAAGTTAGATATCGATGCCATGCCCATGACACATTTTATACACAATCGAATTTTTTAGTTAACAATTGTCCAGTAGGCCGCCATTTCGAAATTTTGCGATCGGACTTGGCGTACAATAAAAAACATAACAATGTCTATTCAACTTTCATTTTTCATTCAATTTTGAATATTGCAACATGTATTTTCATGCATTTTAATTTTTTTGCGTTTTTCGGCTTTCACGCTAGTTTAAAACAATAGAAAAAAATTTTTAACTTTTTTTAACACTTATTTCTTATGTAAAATTATCAGATTAATAACTTTTACATTCAACATTTTGCTCCAAAACCAAAACTTTCCGAGATATTGACTAAAAACTGAAAAAAAGCCTTTTTTAAAGTTATTTTGCGATAAAAAACAATGACGCGTATCTCTGTCGAAGTTGACGATTTAGGGTGTTATGCAACGTATTTTTCTTAGAATTTTAAGCTAAATATCGTACTGTTATAAAGGACCACCGCTTTTCTCGATTTTTTTTGCTCTGGCTCCCATACTATTTATTGAACAATACAACCTTTATTTTTCGTGAGCCCTTAGTAATTTGGACTGAAAAAAAAAAAAAAATTTGTCGTACCTTGGGCGCAAAATGACTTGACGACCTTGGTAAGAAAAATGACGTTAGATACTCTGGCTTGAATGTATACTATCACCGTGCCTTTCAGACTTTGAAATAGCACTTTGCACATCAATAACAAGAACTATTATTTTTACACTTTCGACAAAGAAAAATTGATTTCTTTACCTGTAGGAATTTTTTTTGTTCTACTTCAATATACCAAAAGTTAATTTATCACGTGCACGTGCCAGTCACAGTCAAAGTTTTAAAAATTCATCAAATTATATTTAAGGTAGTAGGTACGTAGGTAGTTGATAAAATTAAGAGACGATGAAATTTTAAACATGTATTACTTAAACTATTTTTAATCTACAATTAAAATTTTAGAAGGCTCAGCCGTGCTATAACGAAAATATAAGGCTTCAAAGTTACATAACTTAGCATGGCGAGCATAGGCAAAATGTGTAAAAAACGAACATTTTATTCGATTAGAAAATAATCATACAATAAGATTTTTTCAAAAATTGATACTTTGTTTTGCATGGCTAAGGGAATATTATATTGAAAAATTTTAAAAATTTTCGGTGACGTTTAAAAGATATTTCAATTTTAATACATTTTTCCATGTTTTCAGTATATCTATATATCAGCCAAAAATTAATACTATTTTAATTTTGTTATAGTTTTATGATTACAAAGTTAGACATTTGTATTGTAAGATAGTTGCTTAAAAATATATATTTTTATAATAAACATGAAAATCCGATCAAGAATTTTTGAAATACTTAAATAAGTTTCCCATTCTAGACGGTAACTTTTGTTTTTTACTTTATTACAATTTCTTTACACCTTACTACCAAATCATTTATATTGTATACCAAAAATAATAAGTATTATGAAAATTTGTTACACAAATTAGTTTTTTGAAGTATACTACATTGACATACAAATTTTTTTACGATGCAAAGAAAGTTTACTAGTTTAAGTAACCACTGAAATAATTAATAGAATCATAAAATATGTTTTAAATGAAAAAGATAAAACAAGCGATTAATATATTGTCAGGGTTTGTCGGAAAGGAGAAACAAAAGATTCCTTATCTAAAAAAAAAAGTTGTAATTACTTCAACGTTTAATATTTAAGTATCGCCCTACTTTCCACCAAAAATCGAACAAGCTTGATTCTACAAAAAATGTTTAAATGAGGTACTATTTTTTCATATCTCAAGACTACACAAAAAAAATTTTAGTTCTGAATTAAAACAAAAAAAATTCTTCTTGGAACACAAGCC